AGACTTGTGCTGTGGAACTTACTGACCCTTAGCCAAGCCATTCCAGTACATCTACAAATCAGCATCTACCAGACAATATAGAAACTTGTCTAGGTATGTCACAAAAAGCAGGACAAATCCAACCCAGCCAATTACTGCCCATCAATCTACTCTCAATCATCAGTAAAGTGATAAAGGTACCATCAACAGTGCTATCAAGCAGCACTTGCTTAGAAATAACCTGTTCAGTAACACCTAGTTTGGGATCTGTCAGGGCCATTCAGCTCCTGACCTCATTACAGTCATAGTTCAAACATGGACAAAAGAGCTTAATTCCACGGGTGAGACGAGAGTGACTGCCCTTCACATCAATGGTACATTGGACTGAACATGACATCAAAAAACCATAGCTTGGAGACAGTTGGAATCAGAAGAGATACTCTCCACTGGCTGGATTAGTACCAGGCACATAGAAAGATAGTTGTGGTGGTTGTAGGTCAGTCATTTCAGATGCTTAACATCACTGCAGGAGTTCTTCAGGGTAGTAACCTAAGCCCAACCATCTTCAGCTGCTTCAATAAACAACCTTCACTCCATCATAAGGTCAGAAGTGGGGATATTTGCCGATGATTGCACAATGTTCAGCACCATTCACAGTTCCTCAGATACTGAAGCAGTCCATGTCCAAATGCAGCAAGACTCTGGATAATATCCAGGCTTGGGCTGACAAGTGGCAAGTAACAAAAACAGAAGTTGCTGGAAAAGCTCAGCAGGTCTGGCAGCATCTATGAAGAAAAAAATCAGCGTTAACGTTTCAGATCCAGTGTCCCTTCCTCAGAACCTTCCTGAGGAAGGGTCACCAGACCTGAAACGTTAATTCTGATTTTTTCTTCACAGCTACTGCCAGATCTGCTGAGCTTTTCCAGCAACGTTTGTTTGTGTTCCTGATTCCACAGTTCTTTCGGTTTTTATTAAGTGGCAAGTAACATTCATGCCATGCAAATACCAGGCAATGACCATCTTCAATAAGAGACAATCTGACCAGGGCCCCTTGATATTGAATGGGGTTATCAACACTGAAACCCCCTTTTAACATACTGGTGTTTACCATTGTCAAGAAACGGAACTGTACCAGCCATAAAAATACAATGGCTACAAGAGCAGATCGGAATCCTGCAACAAGTCAATCACCTCCTGATTCCCTATAGCTTATCCGCCATTTACAAAGATTAAGTCAGGAGTGTGACTGAATATATCACACTAGCCTGGATGATTGCAGCTCCAACTGCACTCAAGAAGCTTGACACCATCCAGGACAAAACACCCCTCTTGATTGGCATGACATCCACAAACACCCATTCCCTCCACTGCTGATGTCAATAGCAGCAGTGTGTATCATCTACGAGATGCGCTGTAGAAATTCATCAAGACTCCCAAGACATTATCTTCTAAAACCATGATCACTTCCAGCTCAAAGGACATGGGCAGCAGATACATGGGAATACCACCACCAGAAAGTTCCTAGCCAAGTCACTTCCTCACAGCATTGTGGGTCTACATACAGCCCATGGACTGCAGTGGTGGAAGAAGGAAGCCACCACACACTCTCAGGGGCAACTAGGCATGGGCAATAAATGTTGGCCCAACTAGAGATGCCCACATCATGAATGATGTTTTTAAACAAAATCTCAGGAATTTTGGACAATAAAACTAATGCATCAACTGTCTTGCTAGCCACTTCTTTTAAAACCATAGGATGAAGTCTGGCAGGACCCAAGGATTTGTTAGTCTGCAACTCTAATGATTTGTTGAGAATCATTTTCATGATGATCCTAATTTTCCTAATTCCCTCCTTCCCTTCTATATCTTGATTTACAGTGATACAGCTCCCACTTTCCCTGGAGTTACTGCCAGTGCCTCATGAACCAGATCCCACTTCTACCACGCAGGTATGCTTTTTTATCTTGGTACCTTTCTCCTCATCCTGAACATGCAGAACCTCTTTCCTAGTCTTGCCTATGTAACTGGCACCTATATGGATCATAATGACCAGATCCTACCCTTTACACTGCAAGTTCCTCACAGCCCAAGTAGATGTCCTGAATCCTGGCACCAAGTAAACAATGCAGTAATGCAGCTTCTTGTTGCAGAGAACAGTGTCAAGCCCCCTCACTATACTGATCCCTGTTACGACTATATCCGTTTTGCTCCTCCATTGTGCCATGGTCAGTTATCTCATCCACCCAGCAGATCACATTCTCATATAATCAAATTGAAATAGCCTCAAAGCTGCTGGAAATTATAAAAGCTGAGGCTCATACTTTCCTGTTCTCTGGTTATCCTTATCCATTCAAACCTTCCTTTCCTTGATAAGTGACCAAACCAAACAAACCTTTCCTAAGGGGCATGATCACTTCCTTGTACAAATGACCTAGGTAACTTTCCCCCTCCCTCATGTGTCAAAGTGTGTTTTTAAGCCTCCATCTCAAACTTTGAACCAAAGCTTTTGAGTTGTACATAACTACAGCTGATGTGGTTTTCCTGGATCATACTAGGATCCGGGAGCTCCAACATGCTGCAGGCAGGGTACATCAATTTCCCTGCTATCCATAAAGTGTTTACGTAACTATTTAGATAACACATTCAATTATTTATTTTTCTTATTAATGTACTTTATTACCTTCATGTACTATATTAAACCTTAAGAGCAAAATAGGTCTTAGCCTCTTACCATATACCCACCAAACAGCTCTCTTTTTTCCACTTTAGTAAAGGAAGAACAAACTCCCAAGGATGAAAAAGTAAAAAAAGCAAAGGAGCTCTTACCTCCTTATGTACTATCTAGCTACCATTATCACCAAACTGCCAGCACTCTGCTCTAAGTTGTTTTCAAGTGCCAGGTCACAATGAGGTGCCTCTATTTATATGCCATGAGTGAACTCAGACATAGGTACAGAGTAAAATAATATCAGCGGATTTGTCTAATTACCTAACTTTGGGTGCTTTTAATGAGCTTATATATCTGTGCTCAAACCTAGATGAAATCTGGGGTTTAAATAGTAAATTACAGTAACATTTTGAATGTGAAATGTAAGATCTACCTTACTTACCAAACTGTCAGCACTCTGCTCCAAGTTGCAATCAAGTTTAGAGACTTGAAGGTTATCTAAGATTATAAAAAGATCTTGATCAATTGGCTAAATGGGCTGCGGAGTAGCAGACAGAGTTTAATTTGGATAAATGTGAGGTACTGCATTTTGGTAAAACAAATAAGGGCAGGACTTATACAATTAATGGTAGACCGTGGCGAGTGTTGGAGAACAGAGAGACCTGGGGGCTCAGGACATAATTCTTTGAAATTTGCATTACAGGTAGATAGGGTGGTTAAGAAGGCATTTATCATGCATACCTTTATTGCGCAGACCTTTGAGTATAGGAGTGGATTGTCATTTTGAGGTTGTGAAGGACGTTGTTGAGGCCTCTTATGGACTACTGTGTGCAGTTCTGGTCACACTGTTATAGGAAGGATGGTATTAAATTGGAGAAGATTCAGAAAAGATTTACCAGGATGTTGCCGGGAATAGTGGATTTGAGTTATAAAAACAGACTGGATATCCTGGGACTTTTTCGCTAGAGCGTATGATGTTGAGGTGTGATCTTATAGAGGTTTATAAAATCATGAGGGGCACAGATAAGGTGACTAGCAAGGGTCTTTTCCCTAGGGTGGGGAGTTCAAAATCAGGGGGCATATTTTTAAGGCGAGAGGAGAAAGATTAATAAAGGATGAGGAGCAATGTTTTTACACAGAGAGTGGTTCGTGTGTGGAATGAAATGCCAGAGGAAGTGGTAGATGCAGGTGCAGTTACGACATTTCAAAGACATTTGGACATGTACATGAATAGGGAAGGTTTGGGAAGATATGGGCCAAATGCAGGACTAGTTTGGATGAGGAACACAGTTGGCATGGACTAGTTACACCAAAGGGTCTCTTTCTATACTGTATGCCTCTATAACTTTGTAACTGGAGGCTTCGTGAGAACTGATATTGTACAAAGTGTATTGTGAAATGGTTGATGGACGCAGACTCAGTTGTAAATTTCATAAGGGAATTCGATAATACTTGAATATTTTTTGAAGGGCGATGGGAACAGAATGAGGAGAGGGAATAATTCAATAGCATTTGCAAAGAACCAGCTCAACAAAGGCCAAATTGTTGCTGTATCATTCTATGACGTTGTAACAGTTTCTGTACTCCAAACATAACTCAATATCTGAGAGGAATAAGAACCATATAAATGAAGCTACTGTTATTATTTAAAAGCTGGGTGCAGCTACTTTCAATGGTTTTCAGGCCCACCTATTTGACTCCTACATTTTTCGAGAGGATCGTTGCAGTCCTGCTAGAATTAGCAGCCTCCTTGGCAGCATGGCTTCAACATGTGTGGTCTGCCCAAACACAAATCCTTGGCTCACTGGCATCATCCTGAAAAGGGCTTTTTTTGCAATATGGAATTCAAAATTAAGTTATTGTTTGTGGATAGAGTTCGTTACAATCTCCTCATGATCTTAAAGAATTGTGGTTTTGCAATTTATCATATTATCTGAAAAATATTGCTGACTCAGTTTGCTCCGACTGCTTAATTGGAGATATAATGTTTATATATGTGGAAATTCTTAATTTAAGGCATCAATTCATGCTGCATAGATATTTCTATGTGCTGGTTTTATTGTGATTAATATGCAATACAAAATCATACTGTATTTCTGAATAAATGCATAAGAGCCTAAAAATGGTTACACATCCTTAATATTTTAATGGCTTTGGGTTAAACAACTGTATTTCCATTTATCTGTAAAACTATTTACTTACAAGTATTAATTCTAACATTACCTCTATAAGATAGGAATGGATAATAAAGGCAAAAATACTCTTGAACATATGTGAACATATCTATGTTTATTAGAAATCTTGTATAAGATACATCATTCTGTACACCATACTTGCTCACTGTTATCACAGGTATTTAATTACGGTTTTATATAGCATTTATCATTGTAAATTTCATTATAATTTCAATGTTAATATTCAATTTTGCACTGTCAACTTCCACAATGAAGTACTTGGTTTGGGCACTAGGTGACTTTACAACTGAATTTTGAAGTGTCCCTTCACAATAAGTATATAAAATAAATTTACATTTATTAACTGATGGTGGGCAATGTCACAGGCAATTTGCTAGAAATTGGTATATTTTAATAAATATTCTTTAAAAATTCAGCACCGATCAGTGTAAACATTGCAAATTTTATAGAAAAGTAATCAGAAAAATACATTTTTAGTGAACAATGCCACTGTATAATCAGTAAAAAAAGACTATCCTTTTCATATTGATCCCAGCTCCCAGATAAGTTATAATATCTTAGCCCCCTGATAAAAGTGATAAATATTAAATAAATATTTAAATAAATATGTCGTTCCAAGAGGGGAGGAGTGTTGTGTTAGCATATTTGATATAAATAGTGTAAAACCAAAATAAAAGTTGATCACAAATTACTGTGGTGTGAAGGTATTTAGATTCTGTACAATTAGAGTTCGGTATCATTCAGATAATTCATCACTCTGTTGATTGTGATCGTACGCAACTTGAAAGCCTGCAAAATTTTGCACAAAACCATCCTTTGGGGAAAGTTAGGTTTCTCCTCAGTTTCTGTTGTTGACCCAACTTCAAAATATACGTCATCATAGATTGAATCAGAATTAAGAGCCTATGGCCAAAAACATAAATAAATTTAATTAGGATTTTGTATTATAAACTTCAAATATGAATTATTTAAACTGGAATTAAATTTAAAATTAATAGCAATTTAGAAGTTTTTGCTTTTAAAATGTCAAACAGATGGGCAATGAAACTTAAAATATACAAGGTAAGTTATTAGTTGTTTTTGCTTTGATTTGACTGAGCTTAACGAGTTATCTACTAATATAATTATACCTGAGAAAACATAACAGTTATAAAATAGAGGTAATTCAAAGAAAATAGATGGTGAATATAAAAGTGAAATAGGCCAATGCAAAAGTGAAACAAAAACAAATATAATGAAGTGAAAGAACACATGCAGAAATACCAGAAACTGTGCAGGCATGGTCCAAGCTTTGGCCCCAGTATACATAGAAGATCCAGGAAAGCTCCTTCATGAGGACATTAACTGCAAGTTCCTCTCCAATATAGAACTGTCATTGAATCAAGAACCTGGAACTCACTCCCAAAATACAGTGTGGGTGGACCTATACCACAGACTGATGGGGTCAGGAAGCTGACCATAACCACCTTCTAAAGGGTAATTATGTACAGATAGCAAATGCTGGGCTTTCCAGTTTTGCTCATATCTGATGAATAAACTATAAAATACCCAAAAATTGAAATTGCATGTGGTGCCAATAAAAGTATGAATTGTACTCAGCCAGTGAACTAAACAGACAATGCTGTAAATATAAAGATGATGGATTAGTTTTAAAAGAAATTAATTCATGGAATACAGCATCACTAGCTAGACCAGCAATTATTGCCATCATTAATTTTCTAGAGGGCAGCTGAGAGTCAATCACATTGATGTGGGTCTGGAGTCACATGTAGGTGAGAACAGGCAAGAATGGCAGATTTCCTTCCCTGAAGATCACTAGTGAACTAGATGGATTTTGGAACAATCAACTACACTTACATGGTTGCCATTAGGCTAGCTTTTTATTGAATACAAATTTCACCATATGCCTTGGTTGGATTTCAACCCACACTCCCAAAACATTGGCCTAGGGCTGTGGATTTCTAGTCAAGTGACATTACCATTATGCCATTCCTCCTCCTAACATGGGATGAATTAATGATGAAGGCTGAGATCCAAATCATTACATTTCCTCTGTACCCTGCACGAGGATATTCTTGGGTGTGCTGTTGAATGGACTGTTCACCTGCTGAAGTGAATCTGTTGCACTTTGAAAGCTGCCTTCTTGGGCCATATGACCAAGAGTGACATCAGTAACCATCATTAAAGAAGTTTCAGAAATGGGAAGTAAAGTGGAGTTGATAAAAAGTTCACTTCGAAGTAAAAGTGCCGAATTCTTTAGAGAAAGAAATTCCCCTGAGAAGAGCGTTGTTGAGCATGACACAGTCCTGCAGTCAGTACTCAAATTCAGAACAGACTCCAACATAAACCATGACCACCTTCTCAAAGGCAACTAGGGATGAGCAATAACTGCTAGTCAAACAGTGACACCTAATCAAAGAATAAACAAAAATAAAGCAGGAAGGATTGAAATCACCAATAGGGGTTAATTGCATTCCTCCCTATTGCATGATCTCACACGACTGCTGGGAGCTCTGGGAGTTTTCTGGATCAGCTGACATAACTCTGGAAGAAGGATGATAGAAACATCATTTGCATATTTTATCCGGGGTTTGCAATGACCTTCAGTTAATCCTATTATGGCCAATTGGAGAACCCCAAAAATTACTGTCATTGACATTTAGCACGGTATTCACTTTCAGAGGGCCATGTTTTGGGAGGTTTCTTGTTACCACTTTTCTTTAAATGGGATTTGAAGGTGAATATTATACAGGATTAGAATTTTCTTTTCCATAATACACTGAAACTCTGGAGGCTAGAACAACCATGAATAGCCAGATATTAAAATTGTGTTTTCACAATAACTAAGGACAATTATTTTCCTCAGTTCGTGTTTACATGAGAATCCACAGCTCTTAGCACAGGGAGGAACATCAACCCTGCTATGAATCTACCTTTTGAGTGGGGATAGTGGAGATGCATCTTATGCTGGTAGCAAGTATTTTGGTAAATTAACGAATGGGAATATGTCTGCCACAATAGCCTCTTCCTCATTAACTCTACCAACATTTGTAACGCTCAGAAGTAAGTAAAAATGCATAGAATAACCCAAGGGAAAGATTTATCACTGAACATGACCAGTTGGGAAAAACACAAAAAAATTGTCTTGGCAATCATTTTAAGTGCCAAATAAGCCCATGTCTATTTCAATGTTTAAGACAGTATAAAAGTCATAGTATTTAGAGCGTTAACCAGGATAAAGCCACTTGGTTTGTTTCTTTTACTGCAAGGGAGAATTTGAAGTTAAGCATATCAAGTTTTGATTAAATTGTCACTTTGTATTCTCAATTACAATTTGTAAAGTACAGCAGTTTTATGACTTATATCTGGCCTGGTCTCAATTAAGTGTTTTAATCTTCCTCCTGAAAGGTTGAATGAGGGTGTGAAAAACACTACATCCAGCTCAGACCACAGGAGATTAAAACTTCCCAGGCTATATGTTTGATATGAAATGTAAACACAGCTTGTAATTAATGTGTTTCACTACAGTTACAGAATGCCACATGATGTAATGAAAGATATTGAACTATATTTCAGCTTAATACAGAATGTCAAATTTGAATTGTTGACTTTCTGAATTTTATGAATAATGTATATTATTATTGGATAAGAAATTATTGTCACACTACTGGGTTGTGGTATAATGTGGAAACCCGTAATGTAAAACATAGAAAGTGATCTGTGCCCCTAAATCTATGAGAATATCTGTAGCAGAACTGAAAATTATAACATTGCAACACTAAGACTTGATGCAAATTTGGAGTCAGGACTTTGAAGCACTGTAGTTTGACACCAGAAGCAACTAAATTACTATGCAGTGACAAACTGGTCACAATAAACTAATATCTATGCTGATGCCTAGGCTATCTAAGCAAAATGGACTTCAGTAAGGCATTTGACAAAGTTCCTCGTGGTATACTGGTTAGCAAGGCTGGGTCACATAGAATACAGGGAGAACTAGCCAACTAGATTATAGAACTGGCTCAAAGGTAGAAGACAGAGAATGGTGGTGGAGGGTTGCTTTTCAGACTGGAGGCCTGTGACCAGCAGTGTGCACAAGGATCAGGGCTGGGTCCACTGCTTTTCGTCATTTATATAATTGTTTTGGATGTGATTTGGTTAGTAAGTTTGCAGATGACACTAAAATTGGTGGTGTAGCGGACAGCAAAGAAGGTTACCTCAGAATACAACAGGATCTTGATCAGATGGTCCAATGGGCCGAGCAGTGGCAGATGGAGTTTAATTTAGATATGTAAGGTGCTGGATTTTGGAAAGGCAAATCAGGGCAGGACTCATACACTTAATGATAAGGTCCTGGGGAGTGTCGCAGAACAAAGAGACCTTGGAGTGCAGGTTCATAGTTCCTTGAAAGTGGTGTTGCAAGTAGATAGGATAGTGAAGAAGGCATTTGGTATTCTTGCCTTTATTGGTCACAACATTGAGTATAGGAGTTGGGAGGTCATGTTGCAGCTGTACAGGACATTGGTTAGGCCACTATTGGAACACTGCATGCAATTCTTATCTCCCTGCTACAGGAAGGATGTTGTGAAACTAAAAAGGATTCAGAAAAGATTCGCAAGGATGTTGCCAGGGGGCTGGGGCTACTTTCCCTGGAGCATCGGAGGCTGAGGTGTGACCTTACAGAGGTTTATAAAATCATGAGGGGCATGGATAGGGTAAATAGACAAGGTTTTTTCCCCGGGGTGGGGGAATCCAAAACTAGAGGACATAGATTTAAGATGAAAGGGGCAAGATTTAAAAGGGACCTAAGGAACAACTTTTTCACACAGAGGGTGGTGCATGTATAGAATGAGCTGCTGGAGAAAGTGGTGGAGCCTGGTACGATTACACTATTTAAAAGGCATGTGGATGGGAACATGAATAGGAAGGGGTTAGAGAGATATGATCTAAATACTGGCAAATGGAAGCAGATTAATTTAGGATATCTGGTCGGCATGGAAGAGTTGGACCGAAGGGTCCATTTCCATGCTGAACATCTCTATGACTCCAATTACATTTTAACAGCTGATATACGAGTTACAAATATAAGACAGCAGAAATGTAAATCCTATTTAGTGTAAATTGGTTGACTCCTAGCTTAAACCTTGAACAGTAGCAGTGAGCAACAACTGCTTACATATCTAGATCATCATTAAGATGGAAAAATGTTCTAAGATGCATCTTAGAAATATAAGAAGAATAGGCATCAAAACGAAGAGGGAGTGATTGAGAGTGATAACCAAAAACTTGGTCAATGAGATGCATTTAAAGAGGGAGGTGCAGAATTGATAAAGATTAGGGAAAGAGTTCTAGGGAGGGAATCAAGATGACTGAAGGTGGACCAGCAATTTGGAGTAAAGGGAGGAAGAGGAATGTAAAATAGATTGAAGTCAGAGGAACGGCAAGTAAAGGAAAAGGAAATTTAAGCCTTGTTGAGGTTAGGAGATCGGACAGGCTGAGGTTGTGGAGACATTTCAGCAGAGATGAATTTTTAAAACTTAGGTCATTTCGGGAATCAAGTTACAACAAAGCTCAGTGGTGGTAATTGAGTCACATTTGGTACAGAGTTGGGTATGGCTGGTACAGATTTGAATGTGTTTATATTGCATTGCATGCAGGGTGACAGGCTGACCCAGAGAGGCTTTCAAAAGCAGATTGCCTGAGGTATGGGGAGCAAAGTTGATTAATGTTATAATGGGAGGAATAGGTAGACTATTAACTGTAGTGGCAAAATTATGAGGCCAGAATATTAGACAATAGTTAAATAGGACTCCAAGGTTGCAGACAGTTTAATTTGCACTGACATAGTTAACCTAGAAGGGGTTGAAGCCAATGATAAAGGCGTGGAGTTTATGATTGAGCTGAAAATGATTGTTTTGGTCTTCCCACCATTTAGTTAGAGGAAGTTACAGCCATTTCAAGTTAGAACGACAAACTGCTTGACAGCACAGTCAGTGATGCCTAAGTAATGCCAATGTCATCATCAGATTTGTGTAAACTATTCCACGTATTTGAATGATGGCATCAAGGGGCAGTATGTTTATGAGAATGATGAGGGGGCTGGTAATATTTACATAATACTTTCCAGAAATGTGCGTGTCTGTGTGTGTGCGGGATGAAAAGCCATTGATATAGAAACTCTGTCTATGTTTAAGTGGGTGGGAGGGGAAACAGAGGTGTGGGGGAGAATAGAACAGAAAAGAATGACTGGTGAGCCCAATTTTAGACCGAAATTTGACCGAAATTTGATTGAAGAGATTCAAATGTAAAGCTGAAGGAGAGTCAAGGAGAGAATTTGGAAGGTGCGAATATTCCCTAGACTTGGAATGGGCAGAGAAGTATAGATATGAATATTAACAGAAATGAGCATGTGTTTTTTTTGGAAGGGGGTCAGTGACAATCTGGGATAGTTGCTAAATAAAAGGAGCTATTGTCGACATTGGGTCAGCAAGGGAAGCTAAATGGTGGGTTTGAGGGGAATGGAGTCTGGGAAGCAGGAGGTAAATCTGAGAGGTGAAATGTTCTTGAGGATGGGAAGATGAGTGAGTGCTTGAATGGGATAGAAAGCACAGGAGGACAGCAGTGCCTTACTGATGAGTAGAATGTCAAACTGAACTATAATTCAGTCTTGCCCCAGTGTGAAGTAGAAACCGCCCTTACTGATAAAAATGTGAGAACACAAGGGCAGGGGTTCTCTATGGCATGCCATCGAGCTGCCCTCTCTCTCCGGTTTTTACCTCTGAATTGTAACACTCAGCCATTTTTACCTTTGTTAGAAACGAATTAAACGTTAACTTACATTCAGAAGTTGCTGGATCTGTTTAAACACATTCCGGGTGACGTGGGAGAAATTATGAAGTTTAGTTTGGTAGATCTGTAAATCGGCAGTAATATTTTGAAAGCACTGTCGAATGAAATGGATATAATTAATGCTCGATTCGATTTGATTTCAGTGACTTAAGCTAAACACTCGAATGAAACCGGTGAAGGCACAAACCTGGTCAATTGGGAATCGGGATCCTTGCGGGTCTCCGCTCTCCTTGCATTTACCAGACTCCTAGGGATTCACAAGGATTGACATAAGCGATCAGTTTGAAATGCAATAAAGGATTGTACTCATGTGAAAGATATCGCCGGAGAGTGTATGCGTGTGTTTGTGCTCACCTGGGCCGGGGAACAGGACCAGGCGGTGCTGGTGAGATTCTCAGTGATGTCCTCCAGTGCAAGAACATTATCAGTGCAGTTAAAGCCTCCAGTCACGTCGGGCTAAATAAAACATGACAGTTAGCATCTTCGACAGAAAAAATGCAAACAGCCAGCCAATGTGTAGAAACTATTTACACATCTTTTTTTCCCAGTTGAAGTTTAGCAGTTGCAGGTAAAATTAAAGATTGCTATAAACCCCGGAGCCCGATAACGAACAGCAATAAATCTCCAAAAGACTGACTCAGTCTGTTAGTTCTAATCCTCTACACTTCGCCCGCTTTCTTGCTCGGACAGTGTACAGGGCATGGAATAATTACCAAAGGACTTACGTGCGTTAGACTTTCTTTCACCTCGCTCAGCAGCTGCTTTGAAATGTTGAGGCAGCTTCTGACATCTATTTTCTGCTGCTTAGGTACGGAGCTCCCAGAGCACACCCGGGACAGGTGAAGGCACATCACTAAAAAGAGGGGAGCTTTCCACAGTCCTGCAATTTAAAAAAAAACGTCAAAATGGTTCTGCAGCAGCACTTGTGCACTCCTCAGGTTTCAACTTAGATCAACCTTCGGAGCTTCTTTTGATGAGTAGTGATATCATGGACTTTGACAAAGCATGTGCACATTCCAGTCATTCTAAACTTACCAGCGGTTTCCAGCGAGAACACCATTGTGACTGAACAAATTGCCCGAGTAGAAGTGTGTCTGTTTATTCGGGTGCACAGTGGGTGTGTGTCTGCTACCAGAGATTCGGTGCTGCATGTAAATATATACAGTGCTCCCTCCTCACACGCGAGAGGTAGTACATGTTGAGGGAATTCCCCAGTCATTTTCAGATACAGACACAATCGGAGGCATGTAGCAATACCTTGAGTGTGGCCGAGGGTGGAACCATGCTTGCGTGTTACGTTGCGCGTTGTTTACTTTTTTCGCTTTCGTTAATTTCCGTTCAGTTTCTCTCACTTAACTCTTGGCTCCCCCGCCCCACCACCGTCTCTTAGTTTGTTTTCTGTTTGTGCGTTTTTTTCACTTTTCTGTTATCTCCTTTTACCGCCCAATTTCTTTCCTTGTTCCGCCCTGTATTTCGATTTTATTTTGCTCATCTCACAGAAGACAAAACTGCCCAGTTCCGGGGGCACAGGGGGAAATCTTGCCCAGGTAAGTAAAGCTGCAACTGGGCTTCTAACGCCCCCCGGACTACAGCGGAACGCATTTGGAGAATCCATGGCATTTTCTTCGCACAGGTCCAGAAATATTCGTTCCTTTTAAAAATTAATAAGGAGGTTTCATTGAGAATCGCAAACGAATCTCCCCAAAAGCAGGTTTCCCAGTGAAGTTCAGATTGCTCACCATTAGGGAAACGATCCTGTTTTAAGGGTTTTGAGTTTCCCTTTGTGGATTTCCGAAGAAATGTGAAACAAAACAGATTTCCATCAGCTAGCGCAGCGAAATGCAAAGAAATCCGAACCTTTACAATAAAAAAAATGCACGCTCCAATAAAATAAAACTTACCAATTTCGCAGGCGCTGTTACTTTTAAGGATTTTCCATTTCAACCCCCTTGTTCTTGTATTCTAGCCTTGGCTAATATAGGAAAGCATGCCATAAGTCCTCTAAATTACCTATCAACCCGTTCGGCTACCTTTCAGGATTTGTGGAGGTGCCTCTGGTCCTCAGTGTTAGTCAGTAGTCTAAAGGTCCAGGCACTGGCTCCCTTCCTCTCCTCAGAACTGTCTGATATGGAATCAAATCAGAAATCATACCACACCAGGTGATAGACCAACAGGTTTATTTAAAATTGCAGGCTTTCTGAGCACTGCTCTTTCACTTGCCGATGGAGCAGTGTGCGGAAAACTTATGATTTCAAATAAATATGTTGTACTACAACCTGGTGTGGTGTGACTTCTGACATTATCCACCACAGTCCAACACCAGCATCTCCACATCATGATATTGAACCAAACAGTTTGCAAACACAATGTCATATATCTACCTTGAGATGAGATTCTGACTACATATTCAAATCACCATTAAGGTTATCTATTTCCACATTCATAACATTGTCCAACTCTGTCACTGCCTGAGCTTAGGTGCTGTTGAAACCTATGTCTTGTTACCTCTAGAATTGACCATTTTGCCGCACTCCCAGCAGACATCCCATGTTCTACGCTATGCACACATGAGATCACCTGAAACTTTGTGGCCTCACAAACCTTCAAAATATTTGAAAAAAACTGAAAGAACTGCAGATGGTGGAAATCAGAAACAAAAACAGAAATTGCCGGAAAATCTCAGTAGGCCTGGCACCATCTGTGGAGAGAAATCAGAGTTAACGTTTCGGGTCTAAGAAGGGCCACTCTTCACAATACTTGCACTATTATAATTCAGGTCATTTTGAGTATCCTTGATTTTAAGTCTTCAATGACAGTGGCCATGTCTTCAGCATGGTGTGGAAGATCAGAGAGAACAGCAGGGAGTAGTGTTTATAAAATACTGGGAGAGATGGACAGTAACAGGACTGAATATTAAATAATCCCGGGTATAAAGCGTTTAGAAAAAGTAGAGGAGGGAGGCATTTTTCATTAAGGACAACATTGCTTTGCTGAAGAAAGTAGTTTCAAGGAGAGAATCAATCTCATTAGAGCTAAAAAAGGGTGCAACGATATTACTCAGTGCAGTATACAAACCATCTCGTAATGGGAAGGATACAGAAGTACAAATATGCAGGGAAATTACAGACAGATGCTGACATTACAGAATAGTTAAACAGGGGACTTTAACTACTCAAATGTATACTGGGGCAGTTAGAACATAAAAGGAACAAAGGATTAAACATTCCTGGATTGGTGTTCAGGAAAATTTTCTACAATGTTATGCATCCACTACAACGAAAAGAGGATGCATCATTGGACCTGGTTCTTGGAAATGAGGTGGATGAAGTAGATCAAGTGCTGGGGATGAACACTTAGGTGGTGATGATCATTGTATTGCAAGATTTAGGATGATGACAGAAAAAGACAATAAGCAAATTAGAGTATAAAAAATGAGGGGAGATCTGATTTTAATGGAGCAAGAGCACAGCTGAGAAAAATGTTGGGAGGAAAATTGAAGCTGAACAAACCTTCAGGTTTAGTTTGGAGCTATATTCCTTCAAAAGAGAAAGGGAGGCCAAACAAATCCAGAAATCACTGGATGAAAAAGGCAATAAATTTAAGAGAAAAGGAAAAAATATTCTTGCTTCATAGACAGAAGACTGGAGAATTGCAGACATTATATTGTTGTTCAAAAAGGGTTGTAAGTATAAGCTCAACAATTACAGATCAGTCAGTTTAAATTTGGTGGAGTTGAAGCTTCTGGAAATGATTATTCAGGACAGAATTTGCAGTCATATAGAAAAATGTGGATTGATTCAGAACAGCCAGCCGAAAATTTTAAAGGAGCATACTAATTTAATGGAGTTTTTTGAAGAAATAACAGAAGATTCAATGAGTGCAGTGCTGTTGCTGTTTGTACATGGATCCCCAAAAGGCATTTGATTCAGCAACACACAACAGACTTGTGAAAAAAAAGTTATAGAAATGGAGGAAGGTTTTTAATGGTGTTACCCCGGGGTTGGTATTTCTTGATCTATATAAATGACTTCGATCTTTGTGTGCATAGGACAATTTCAAAGTTTGTGGATGATATGAAATCTTAAGTTTTGAGGCAGACTGTGTAGAACTCCAAAAGGCCTTGGACAAGTTGGCAGAGTAGGCATATAAATGGTAAATGAAGTTCAGTGTAGATAAATGTGAGATGATGCAATTTGGTCAGAAGAACATGGTAAGGCTATCTAAAACAGAGGGTATATTACTTAAGGTAAGCAGGAGCCAATGAACCTGGGAGTATTTGTGCAGAGAGTATATTAAATGTGGCAGGTTAGGTTAGCAGGGGACTTTAACTACTCAAATGTATATTGGGACAGTTGGAACATAAAAAGAACAGAGAATTAAACATTCCTAGATTAGTATTCAGGAAAATTTTCTACAATGTTATGTGTCCACTACAACTTTGTTTCTTTTACTAATTTGTACCTAAATTTTTTGTAGCTCAGAACCTCTGTGCCTAAGATAGTGCTGTGTGTGGTGGCATTAGACAATCTTCAGTGTACTTCTGTACCTCTGTACTTGAGTGCACGTGACAATTAAATCTAAATCAAATCAAACCAAATAAGGGACAATAGATTAAAATATGTTTGGGTGAGTCTTGGAGCCTAAGTTCTATTATGTAAAATCTGGGGCTCCTCCTTTATTATAAACTATATTCTACACTCACGCATGACACTTAAAATGACATGGTAGCAATTTTGCTCCAACTTCCAGTTACCCACGCCCAATCACATCAAACTTAAATAAAACAAATTGCCAACAGAATGAAATGGTTTGCATCACGCTTGTAATTAAGGAAATTATCCATTTAAGCACCCAAATTGTGAGTGAACGACTCAACTTCCAGTGTGGATTCAGAGGCACAAATGTGGGCCACTTTTAAGGGAAGAGTAAAATATGGAGAATAGAAACAGAACTAATTGAAACAGTCCAAGAATGGAAGTTGGAGTGAAACTATGGATGTGTAGGTTGCCTGAGACCCAGCTTACAGAGAACAATTGCTTAATGACTGTAGGCAAAAACAAGACAGGAGCAAGGAATGCAGAAAGAAGCCGCAGCTAATTCATTCACTGGTGTCCCGGCTGCCAGCGTAGTAGAGTCCAGGAGAAAATCAAAAGAGCACACAAAATGCAACACATAAAGTGTGATGTAAAGGGCATATATGGTGACAGAACAGAAATGCAACTAAAGAGAATTTTTATTTTTTACATCTTTGACAGAGGAAAGCACAGTAGAGAGAAAGAAGGAGAGAATGGACATGGCACACAGATAGAAGGAAAAACAATAAGCAGAAGAGACAGAAAGTGAAAGTGAAAGAGAACAGTCCAAGAAAGAGAAAGTTGAAGAAAAGACAATGGAATGAGATGGAGAGGATGATAGAGATAAAGGAACGGGGAGAGAGAAGGGAAAAGGATTAGAATGGGAATAATAGAACAGAGAAAGGGGAAGATGATGTGGAAGGAAAGCAAGAAAGAATACAGGGGAAAAATTATTTGAAAATAAAACAATAAATGAAAAGGAAATGAAAAGAGGGAATGAATGGAAGAGTGAAAAGGAAAGGAAGAGCAATGGAGAGAAAAAGGGATTAAAAATTAAGGAAGAATTAAGAAAAGGATGGAAAAATAAAAGAGAAAGGGAGGGGCAAGGTGAAAAAGGGAAAAAAAAAGCTAAAGTATTAGCAAGGAAAGAAAGAATGTGATTTACATCACTTTTCCCTTTAGAATGGATGCTGAGCCATTGTGAAGGTCTGAGTAGAAGTGACTGATAACTTTGTTGAAAAAAAATTAGGCATATCTTAATTGAAGAGAAAATAAATTGAGGGCCAAAAGATTTCAAGAGATTGTTTTGAATAGCAGCACCAAGGTGTGCCAGTACTAAGATGGAAAGATAGTCAGACCATTGAAATATGATTTGGGGTAGGACTGGAGAACCTGCTGAGATTAAACTGGACAAGCTGTAAGGAACCTGTGTAAGTCAATTAACACAAGGAGTGGGTCTCATTTGAGACTACTGAGCTGAGGACAAATTGGAATTTAAGAAATGTGTATGATGGGAAGTCAGAAAACACACTGGAGAAATTGTACCAAGAGCCAAGAGTATAGTGGAGTTGAGATAGTGCGTAAACAGGCAGAGCTACAAACTGAAGCAGTCAGCATCTCAGTT